ACACCTGATTTATTATAATTTCTCTATTTATTTACTTGTAAGGGTAAAAACTATATACACAACCGTGGGAGAGCCAGAATTTTTACGTAGTAGACAAAATAACGTTCGAGTGACAGAATATGTACCTTATAGTTCTGTTTAATTTTTATTCATTTAGCGTTTATTTGACACAACTTATTGAAAAATTATTTTCCTCATAATCAATATATATTTTACTTCCATTTCTTAAAATTTATTCTTTTCAAATTTATTTTTAATCAGACATTTCATCGGACTCGCAATTTATGTTAACATTTCATCAACATTTATCAAAATTCACAAAATATTATTCCCTCTGTCTAATTTATATAGGTTGACTTTCCTTATTTTCTTACCCCAATTGAGAATGTTTTATTTGTTTAATAATATATATTTTTAATTCGTCTAATTATAATCAAAATTTTCCATTTAATCTTGAAATTATACAAATATATAGATACATCCTCCTGAAATCATCCAAATTCAAATTTTTTATTACTTCCAACAATAATTTACTATTAGTAGTAATTGTTAATAATCAAACAAGGGTAAACTAGGAATTTTTTTGACAAAAAATATTTTTTAATAATATTAAAGAAGACTTCTTAATCCATGTGAAAAACAAAATCGGCCTATATAACTGAGACGGATTGAGTATTTTTATCAAAATCAAACAAGGGCTGGATTTTCAACTAAACATATTGTCAATAAAATAATTTTACACGAAGACTCATAATTTTTTTGTACATTTGACCATATATTCTCCAAAATAATTATTTTTTATTCAAATAATCTCTCCAAACAAACAATTAGAATTTCAATTTGAGTACTACAATATCTCCAATTAAAGTTGAACTAGTAATTACAGGCCAGTGTCCTAATCGAACTTGACCACGATCCTATGTCGGAGAGATATAGCCTTGTTTGATTTTAATTTTATAAAAATCGTTTTTCCTAAAATTAATTTTCAACAACATGTTTTTGTAATAAAATAATTTTACACGCAAATTTATATTATTTTCTTATTTCAGAAAATCTTTTTTGGAAAAATGAAAGAGGGCATGATAATAAAATAGTAATAATAATAGTTGGGCAAGCATGGAGAAAAGCAAAACTGATCCTTGCTTAAAATTTCGAGGCTCCGTTTGATTTGCGGAGTTTTCTAGGAAAGTAGGAA